CATATAACAACAAATTTCACAAAATTAATTATTGATCATTAGCAATATACTTACTAATAAATCATCTATCACTGCGTTCTTCACATTCTCAGGCACAAATTTCCAAGAACGTCACTCAACAGTAGGACAATTATTCCGCATGGCTACAACAATTGCATGCTCGAACTCAAAATGTTCCCTCAAATCATGCGGGTTGGCGTTGCGCACACTCTGATCCTTATTTTTGTCCTCCATCCCAGCATGAACAGAATTGTGAAGAACAAGGAGAACATAATTGTGAAGAATAAGGACATCAGAAGCACATATTTATAGGAAAGTTAGGGCCTTTGCACGACGAAGGCTTCGTCGTGCAAACATGTGTACTAAATGCAATCCTGATTCCTCTTATTCACCTGCAGTGAATGGTCTAAGTGAAAATTGACAGCAACTTGCGCGATGAACCCTTTGTCGTGTAAATGTCACTTTTTCGTCGTGCAAGATTTTTGCCCCAAAAAAATTATCTTGCGTTTTTCTTGCTGACTTTGCGCGACGACTACACTTGTTCGTCGCTTTAGGTATTCTTGCGCGACAAATATTTTCGTCGCGCAATTTTTTTGTTCTTTCCTCTCTTTTTTGCGTGACGACATTGTTTCTTTCGTCGCGCAAAGACCTCTCGTGCGACAAAATTTTCTTCATCGCACAAGCTATTTTTTCTACTACTGTGGGGAAGGAGGTAATCTAATATGAGGTCTCATATACAAAGACAAATTCTCTTAATCAACTGAACTACAAACTTGTTAATTCATACAATGTAGCTTTACTTAATGGCCAATTAATATTATCCTTTATGTTAAACAGGAGAACGATGATTACCTTTTAGGAAAGGTTGCTTAACATTTTTAACTCGTATTAACCCATTCTCTTGTTTCTTTAATAATAAAAAGCCCTCAACTTCATTATCCTTAAAAGTAATTAATTCTATAATGCGTGTAATTATTTGCAAATCATAGTATTAAGTAAACTTGATATACAAATCACATGAAAGGTTATTGATAGGTGATCAAGACAGATCCAAAAACCAATAGTGTCATCCTACCCCTTACCCTTCTCATCCTGTCCCAGCTCCTCTGAAGCTACATATAGTCCTCAAATTCTGTAGATCCTGATTTCAACCTGAGAATTTGACAATAGTTAATTTTACCTATTCCATAAGTAAGTTTTCATCAAATGCAAACAAAGGTCCAAAGGTAAGTTTTCATCAAATACAAACAAGGTCCAAATGTGGAATTTCCAAGAAGAAAACTTTCGCTGCACATCATGAAATCAGTGGATGGATTTATAATGATTTCATAAAGATTGAGCCAAGCACATTCAAGTAGCTTGTAAAGTCCTTGCTTAGCAAATCATAATGCAAGAAGAAATTGATTTCCAACATGATTAGAAAGCATGGACTTTGGTTCTATAGCTTGACAGAAGGTAAGGTTGGTTGCAAAGGATTTTAATCAAAACGAAGAAATTGATTGTAGTCAGATATTCAGCCTTGTGGTTAAGTCTACCATTGTTCACTTAATTTTGCCCTAACAATGCAACTTAATGGATCTTTAAAGCAACATAATGTGAAAAACGCATTTCTTTATTATTTACTTTAATAAGAAATTTATATGGCTAAACCGCTACGATTTCAGAATTTAGAACATCCTGATTATGTTTTCAAGTTGCCAAAGTCCCTCTATTTAAAATATGCTCGTAGAGCTTGTAACGAAAAATTTACTAACTTTTACACTATGTTTAACTTAACACCACTAAATTTACCTTTGAGTAAATAACTAAGCATTAGAGATCAAGTATCAAAATGGTTCTTGTAAAGACTAAGCACACCCACCCCCAATAAATGTGTGTGTACTGTTTAGTGATATAACTTATATTGTGCACTTTTGATTTTTTTTGTGAGGAAATTGCATGCGTTCACGCATTCTTCTGCCGACAATACTACATGAATGAAATTAATGAAACAATAGTTCGGATTTTAATTTAATTGGCAAGGGCTAAGATGAGTGGCTTAAATTATTATATGCCAGGAAAAGATAGTGATTTGAGTCCAAAGGAGACAAAGTTGTCCCCCCATGTATTGGAGATGCGAATACAAAGGTAAAAATAAATTAAAAAACAAAAGAACATTTATACATATTCTCGGGTAAGGATGCTTGGTTTCCTTCTGATCTTGGTAATAGTGGAATAAAATATAAATTAATCAATTATATTATAGATTAATTGTGGGAATATAAAAGAAAGAGAAAAGGAGTCTTATTCCATTTCTTGGGATTTTAAGCAAGAAGGCTGTGCACGGTCGAGTCCTGGATAGGTAAATAAAAAAAGAAAAATATTGAAGAGATTATGTTTTAGATCATATTTTGTAGATTACATTATGTTACGATTGATGATTGGATATTTTCTTTAATGATTTAATGTAGATAGTCAGCAGACGAATGTGTTCATGCATTATTTGGTCTATAAAATATAATTCAAGTAGATAATCTCTTTAGCATCGAGATCCATAAAAAGTGCTTTAATTGATAAGAACGTGAATTTACAAACCATCTGCTTTTTAATTCATTTACTTAAAGAAACGGCAAAGATTTTGCATAATGACAATGCATGGCATACAAAGCATATACAAAAATGGAATTATCAATTTTACCCTTCATATATCTCATGTCATGTCCTAACTCCAAAGCTCCCCATGTTGCAGCTAGCGGATACTTCATGCACTATCCATATGAGAGAGAGAAAGCATGTGTGCATGAGATGTAATGGAAAGAGGGGGTGGTCCAAAAGGATCAATATTGTAGTGGTAGGGTTTTGGTCTCCCCTACAAAGGGGTAGAATATTGACTGAATAAATGCCCTTGCTTGTATTTCAATTGTTTGTTTCATCTAGCAGTACAATAGTAAATTTTTTGTAAACCTAAATTGGCCACAAAATAATCTAATAATTATGATAAGTAAATCAACTTTATCATCTATTCATATTATTATCGTGTGCTACAATTCATTAATACTCTATCCATATTCTCTCTAAACCCTAAAGCTTAACCACACTTGACTTTGTGTATTTAGTTTTTTTCTTAGTTTAGCAGAAATTACCTAGCAAGTGTTGCAGTCTTGCTGAATTTCAAAGTTGCAGCACAGAGAGAGAGAGAGAGGTGGTCAAAGTGTTATTGAAAGGTCGCTTCAATCAACAGTTTATCCATCAGAAACAAGGGTTTCCACACTGTTGGAGGTATCAGTACATCATGTTGCAAACTAGCACAACCAATACATCTTGGGCTCCACCTTCTTTCGTTTTCAGCCTGTAGCTGACCGAGCTTTTACCATCCTCTCTCTCTCTCTCTCTCTCAACAAAGCTGCCAACAAGATCCATTCTATTCCAATATGATTTTCCTTTTTCCTTCATTTTCCCTTTTCTGTTTTGTTAATTGTATATACACACACACATATATCTCTACACATTTATAGGTTTTTATTATTTATGCTTCTCTCTTTTTTTTTCCTCTCTAAAAGCTAATCATTTGCTTTGAATTTCCCAAGCAATATAGTGAATCTCAAATGGTACATGTTCCATCCAACAACACAACTCTCTCTCTCTCTCTCTCTCTCTCTCTCTCTCCCTCTCCACTAACAAAGCAAAAGGGCATCGTATGCATCCCCAACAAAAAGCTGATGCATGTTATTTGCAGCAGGAGATGAAAAGCCTATTTCAACTATACTTGGAACAAAATATACCCCAACCCTTGTCTTGCTTTCCTGTTATCTTTGCCTTTAGATTGCCACCAATTCAGACACCAACTCGTCCTATTGATGCAATATCTGCAAAGGTTAGCTGCTAATAAAGTTTTCTTTACTCATTTATAACTAAAGAATCAACTTTGCATAATCTCTTCATTTATGCTTCAAATATGCACAATTTAGGCACAAATAAAACTAATGGGTCTGTAAGAATAAGTTAGGTCCAAAATTCTAAACACTTTAGTGTAATAAAAAAAAAATTGGATAACACATTTTTTTTTGGTCTAAAACAAATTTATTTATATATCCACTTAAATGCCTAATGTCCTCATCAAGAACACAATTAAAATTGTTGTGTTCTAGTGCTCAAGTTCCTTCTAACTACACAACAAAAATGGGCTCTTGATTAACTTAGCACATAAGTGGTACGAGACTCGTGCATCAATACACTCACATAACACAAATATAACGACTCATGAAGTTTGTGAATTGGGGAATACTCTTCAAGATGAGAGATTTTTCAGTGTGCCGGGAACACGGTTCGCTACATCAAGTGTCATAACACAAGTTGTTGGATATTTTAAAAAAATAAATTTCATCCACTTGTATTATGATATTTGGTGTACCGAACTGTGTTTTCGGCGTACTAAAAAATTTCTCCAAAAAGAAAGGATCTTTAAAAGAAGACTAAATTATTAAAGCCAAAAGCCCGAAACCCCTAAAGTGCAATTATCCGTGCGTATATTATTATCTCTTAATTATAACAGACGGTCATCTTATTTCAAAGATTCTTCTCTTCTCATTGACCATCTCTCTCCTCCCCCAGCCCCATCATATATAGATATATACACATGCAGATGATGCATAAGTCTAACGCAAATGCTATTGAGAGCACACTGATATTTCAAAGTTTGATAAAAACCTGTTTAACTATTAATTGTTCATTTAATATATATTTTTCACATAGTTTCCCGGTCAAACCGATGACTTCTTGATACCGATTCTCATCATGAGGTTCACCAAAGTTAGTAGTTAAATGGCTAACTATTTGTACCACAGCAATAAGGGCATAAACTTCTTTTTTACAAGATATAATAGTACTCGAATTTAAGTTGCGAGGAGGGAAGAGTTTAAACGTTGGTTGCAATGGCTTGAAAATGAAGCCTCATTCACCAAGATAATACACCAGTTCTCCCAAAAAAAAAAAAAAAAACAATAAGGAAACAAAATTATAAATGAAGAAGACATTAAAATTCGTTGTAAGGACAATGGATTCACAGAACTTACTATAGTTAACGTGGAAGTGTTTTGGATCCTAGAATAATGCTGACAGAGAACTAAAAATAAGAGCATTACAGAAAAGTAAGAAAAAATAGAAGAAAAAGGTGGCTCTCCAAGTAAATGATGCTTACATATAGTTCTTACTCAGAAAGCCATGGCTATGTCAATAACTCTCCTCTCTAAGTTCATATAGTAATATTTGACTCATTAACAAATAATTAATCTTCTTAATCCTTCCAAGTTATTATTACTGCATGGACTCATTGTCTTGCTCTACTTCAGAAGCAGGTTCATCTTCCTCTTCAAAGCCATCAATTCCATAAGCTGCATGCCCATTCCCAAAAGCCTTGATATGATCTTTAAGAGATCTCTTGTGCTTAAAATCAGAGCCACAAATGCAATACCAAAGCTTGCCACAATTCTTCTCATGGGTTCTCCAATCCCCCCTCACCGCAAACGCCTTGCCACATTTTCTACACGTGAAAGGCTTGATTCCATGTTTCCTCTTGTAATGTGTTTGAAGGGTTCTGAAGTCTTTCAGTGGCTTTGCCCTCGGATGATCGATGTTGTTCCTGCAACCTGGTGTGCAACAATAGCAAGGAAGCCTAAGCATTCCTGTTGGTTGAGTGCCTCTCAAAGATTCAGGCCCTTTTCTATACTGAGATCCATGCCCCCACATATGCATCTACAATTATATATATAGGGATCACGACCAAAAAATTAGAAAGGTGAAAATTAGTACTCAGTGAATTCCAAACCACGCATATAAACTATAAATAATTAAAAGAAACAAAAATAACTAAATTGCTGCCCTCGCAGAATACAAGCCTGTGATATGGCTTCTAATAAATTAGTCATGTGTTATTGATGAATTCCAAGATTAACTACGAGTTTGTTAGTTATCCATAATTTCAGTTCTATACATGAAAGAAAAATTGTAACAAACTGCTACAAGAAAGGTGCAAATATTTGGGAATTAAAATTTAGGCTTTATTATATATTCAAACAAAAGGATCTCACAAATGCTATTTCTAAAAGAGTTAAATGTCATGATGAACAATGTTAGAGAAACAAAATGATGTAGTTGTTAATGATTGGATTATTATTTAAGCATTGATTAACGTGCTTATTTCCTATTGATGATATCATTTGATTTGCAAATTGGTTTTAAAATTTTGGTCTCTTTAGCGAATTAATGTTTGTGCCTATTACTTAAAAAGGTAATTAAGTAATAATAAAAGAAACAGATATATAACTTATGAGTTTGAAGATTAATTTGTGGATATAGAGTTTTCTCTTTTAACAAAAGGAAAAAACCCAGTATGGGTAATGAAGGATTAAGCAAGCAGAACACACACCCCAACCCTCCAAACATCAGCGCCAGTCAAAATTCATTAGATAATATAGAGTTTTGATATTACTATGTATGGTGGTTTTGATGCCCAAAAACTGTTTAGTTGCAGACTGAAGGTCCACATAGAGAAACTAATTTGTTAATGGAATAATGTCATGACCTGGCCCCTCTGATAAAAACACTGCAAGATTTTTCAGCTCCTGCCATTATATATTTGAGCACAGACTCCAAAGTACTAAAGGCATAAGGAACATTGCCTGTGGTGTTCAATCACATGATGGGGGAGGTACTGCTCATAGCCTCAGTTGAATCAGAAAGATTTACTCAGCCCCAATTCCCAGAACCATGCAAAAAAAAGGTAGAAGATGATAATTCAAGTTTTTTTAAATGTAAATTATGAAAATATAAAACAAAAAAGAAAAAGCTCCAATCTAATTTTACCCTTTATAAGTCCAAGCATAGGATGATACTTGAGGGGCATAGGATGATACTTGAGGCAAGAAAATTGAAGAAATAAAAAAGCTGAGCACATTTTGACTGATTTTTATCCTTAAATTATGAGAGGAGGAAAACAAAAACAAAGAGAATAAAAGCCTGATCTAAAAAAATATGAAGAGAGGGAGAGGGAGGAGAAAAGGGAAAATGGTTTCTGGGGCCATGGTTTTGCTGGCGAATCAAGAAATTTTATTGATTAATATATTTACTTTTAAACTATTTTTGGTTCAAAAAAAAAATATTGAGATTTACCTGCATGTTGTTGTATCTGTTGAAGGTCTTGTAGCAAACAGGGCAAGAAAACTGGGTAGGACCTATGAGAATCTGAGAAGGGGTAGGGATCCAATACTGACCCTTGTTCAACCTGCAACTCATGGGGTACCCTGCAGAATCATGATCTCCATGATCTGATTTTTCATGATGAGTACTGTTATTGCTCATCTCTGATGAGGAAGAATTAGCTGCAGCAGAAAGCACAGAAGCCATTTCAGCAGCGCTAGGGTTTGGCAATCCTATGTGCAGTGTCACACTCTCATCGTCTTCACCGTCACCATCTTCCTCATCTTGTTGATCTTTAAAGTGGTGATGATCTTCATGGTGATGTTGTTGTTGATCTTCATGACCGCGGTGGTGATGGTGTTGGTTTGTTGGGCTCAGGCGGCTGAGGAGGGGGAGGGCTTCTCTGAGAGGAGGGGAAGGGGGTCTAGTGTTAAGGATTTGTTGGTGGGTAGGGAAGTAAAAAGAGTGGTTTTGGTTGAGGAAGAAGTTGTGAGCATAGGGAGGAGAAGGTTGTGAAGCATGAGGAGGCGGCTGAGGGTTTGAAGGTGGTGGTTCATGTTCATGGTGACGATGAAGAGGGTTGAATTTGAACAGACCTGGGAAGAAATTTGATGAGTGGGGGTAGTCAGCCATGGTTAATTAAAAAGGGTAGTACACTACAGTATAAGAGGAGGGGAATAGTTTGCTGGGGTGACCTTGCACTTATAGAGAGAGAGAGAGAGAGAGAGAGAGAGAGAGAGAGTACAAGATGACCGAAGGGAGTGGACGGTGGAGAGCCGAGTTATTAAAGTAGTACTACAGAGTAAAGAAGTAGTAAAGGCAAGGGAAAAGGGGAAATAGAATCACCTAGTGAAGAACAAATACAACCAAAAAATAAATAACCAATCTAATTCATTTTGATTAAAAAGGAATTTAGTTCTATTTGATTAATATTATACAGAAAGTATATGTGGAATCTATAACCTATGTTTGAGACAGTCACCAGTTAGAGTTGTGCAGAATGTGTACATGTGTGTACCTCGTTATCAAATAACAATGTTTTAATAAAAATAGTATTGAGATTAGTCTAGCCAATTTTTCTAGACGAGGCTATCAAGAAAACGTCTCTGCCCAGTAAGAGTGGACTATAGACTAGCATAGGCGTTTGGGAGGTATGTCTAGGCGCCTAAGGCGTTATCGAGGCACAACCTAGGCATTTGGATTAAAAAAAACAAACAAACAAACAAACCCCAAACGACGCCGTTGTGGACAGAATTTTTATAAAAATCATGCTAATTTTATGTTTCTAACTTATTTTCTATTATTTTATTATATGACTTTATGATGTGAATTAGAGAAATAATAATAGTTAAAATATTTGATTACTTGCCAATTAGTACTACGGTGATACGCCTTGACCCCGATATCCTCAAATATCAGGATAGGCATGTGCTGGCTGGCACCCGAGGGTGATGAAGCCATTTTAAACATATATGTGAATAAAATACGTAATTAGAAAGAAATATACTAATGCAGAATCGTGTTCAGACTATACAACTACTTAAGAATAATGTGAGTGAATTGTTATAAAAGGTACAAATAAAGGAATGGGACCTACACTGAGATGACTCAAAGATACCTATGCGGAAGTGCCCTAACGCTGGGATTGTATGCCTCGAATCTATCTCCTAAGGGGGCGCAAAACGAAAGGATGAGTGGACCAAAGTTTATAATAATAATACTAATAATAAGAAAACCATTTTCTTTATGAACATACTAACCCCCTGTTTTGAAAATGTATATAATACCACATAATAGGTTTTCGGAAAACTGTAGCATGCCATGAAAAACATTCATAAAACAAGTACGTGAAATCCAGTGCTCAGTAAAATCCTTTGAACCACCGAAAACCCTAAAAATGATGCCACTCGATTTGACGTCCAAGCGAACTCCGACACTCCAACCACTGTTTGGGCTTTGTTCCTGGATTCAAAAGGAGTGGATTGATGGTGGTGGTCACTGGTGAAGGCTGTAGGATCCGCGAATCGCCATTCGTGACGCTTTTGGACCCCACCCATCGTTCTCTGTATACGGGACCAAAATCAGGTCAATCTTGGGTGGAAAATTGAGAAGGAATGCTGGTGTGAAGTTTCTAGGTGGAGGCTCGGTGAAATTCTTCAGAAAAACGGCGGAAAACCGTCGGAAATCTTATCGAGTCAAAGCCGGATCGTGCAAGTCGAAACGGGTCAAAGGGATGACCCGGGTTGGCTGGTTCCCCTCCTTTCTCCTTTCTCTCCTTTCTCTCTTTTCTCTTATCTCCTATTGGTTCACTCTCTTCCCCTATTTCTTGATTGGATAACACACCCCTCTTTTCTCTCCTCTTCTTTCCATCACAGCCACATACATGGCTTCCAGATTGCTACTCCAGTAAATCTAGAGCCTTCTAGATTTATGGTCAAATGACCAATTAGCACTCAACTTCGCTCGTTTATAACTCTTTCGTTATAACTCCAAATTACATTTCGTTTGCACCCACGTGTTCGTAACGACGAGTACTACTAGAATACGCCAACGAAACGAATCTTACATGACACAACAAGGCAGTCAACAAAATTCAACATTTTTTCCTTGATGGACATTTTCGTAAATTCACGCTTTAAAAGTATAAAAACTGTAATATTTGGGGTTGGGGACGGATCGTTGCATACGGTCTAGTGATATTCTTCTTCACTTGTAAGTGAGAGGTCTTAGGTTTGATTCTTGCCAAAGATGAATTTGAATTACATTATTGCTAGCCCATTGTGAGGCTAAGCCTACCCCTCTCTCTTAGTATAAATAATATCGTTTGTTAAAATTTAAAAAAAACTTGCCATGCTTGCTTGATTGTTTTACAAAGTATTATATTATACATTAAGTTTTATAATAATTTTAGGTAATGTGAAACTTTCGCTTAAGTGATGCTATCCATGAAACGCCTTCGCTTTGCTTTGTGTTTTAAAACATTGTCAAATAAATAGCGATATAAGGCTGAAACAAGGACAATTTTGACAAGAAGCAAGTGTTTGGGTGAAACCTCCAACATTTCCATTGGTGCGCGAGCACTGGTCGGCTCAGCCAACTGAGTGCTCAACGGGTTGTCCCAATCACACAGTTGCAATATGCATAATTGTACATGTAAACCCTATTTCATTCATTATGCAAGTCATTACTGTTCCCTTTTTTTTTTCCTCTCTGAGAGCATAATATAATTAACAATAGTATGTACTCTCTCTAGCTAGATATATAGTTGAATTCAACTAATATTGTCAGAGCCTCTTGTTCTTGGATGTACTACAAGGGGCCTAGATTTTACCTTTGGTTTCACACAACAGCTGTGTTTTGTTTTTACTCGTCCAAAAGATAGACCAAGGGTTAGACAAGGAAAAAAAAAAAGATAGACCAAGGATCGATGTTAAGCCCTGAATGAACTTATTAGGTCTCAAAGTTGAGGTGAAAACATTTGGAAGAAAATTTGCTGTTACTGGGACAGCGGGAATCTTCTACTATACCCTGTGGCGTGTGTTAACATATAAGATACCTATATGTGATATATCAATGGACATGAGTGTCTCATGCGGGAGGCCTCCCAATCTGAATCTGAGTAGGGTTAGTCCAATATATCATCATTGCTTAGTTTATACGGATGGTTTGTATTAACACAAGACTTTGGCAGCTAGAATATAGGGGTACCGTGAATGTTTTTAATCACTTAAACTGCAATACCATTTAATTTTTTCTTACTCTAAGATTGTTGATTTTTAATCCTTGCCTTACAAAAACTGAAAATGTATTATGTTAGTAGATTTTTTTTTTTTTATTGGGAGAGAGATTGAGTTGAATACGAGACTTTGCGGCAAGTTCATGTGAATGTTCTTAAGTACTTAAACTACAAACTTCATATCAACTTCGGTGTGGAAACCAGCTAGATATTGATCTAGTTCTTTATTGATAACGAAAACAAAATAGTGGTGGGAGCCTAATCTTAGCCAAGTTCCAAACTATTGGCACTATATTTCTTCTAAGGAAAGTTTTTACGTTAGTTAGCGTGATCTACAATGATAACTCATCTTTTGGTAGCTTATGCTCCCGTGATTGTCTGACATAAGTAACATCAAAGTTCTAGTTTGTTGAGGTCCTGAATTCAAAGCCTTCAACCCTCATCTCTCATGCATCATTTATCAAACTAATCGGTAAGGTGAGGTTGCTATAATCTGCATAAGGAGATTTTTTTTTAACTCTCCACATGTAGTATGGATGTGACTACACGTGAGGGCGAGGATGAAAATATTTGTCCGCCCCCTGGCGGATTTCCCTCTCTTGGTTCTAGTAAGATAATTGCTCTTGGTAGATCTCTGTGCCTGAGGAGGATAAGCTAACCACAGATTGATATGTACGGCATATGGCAATCGTGGCTCAAGTGAATTTCCTATTTTTGTTCATTTGGCGAGGAAGTAAGCTAGCTTATTACACATTGGTATAAATTTCTTAGTGTCTTCACACTATCATTCAACAATGTTAGCCAGTCTCTTGAAACGATTGAGATTTGATTGGCATGCACGTTCTAAAAGAAGCGAATTTGGTGGCCAAATGCCTTGGCTTATGAGGTCATGATTGTTTGCCAATCTCGTCGCCTTATCTGGTCTAAGACTCTCACCTCATAATTTTGATTATGGGATCGAAGTGATAGAGGAAGTTGGTCTTTGTTTCCGAGGGAAGTTGGTTTTTACTATAAAATTAATTAGAAATATGGAAAGTATTTAATTATTCATATAAGTTGATGCAAGGTTTAATAAAAAAATTTATATCATACATTTCTTTACTTTCTCATAGTTTGTTGGTTCTTAATTTTGTTTAAATTTCTCACTTTTTCATCAGGAAATAATACAAGTTCAATGCTAAATTTTATTACAACTAGATCGAGTAGTGTGTTGAATTGACTTAAGCTAGAACCAGACACTAATAACGAGTAAAGTAATTAATTGCATGCACTGATGGAGAGGCTCCGGGCTTTAGCTAGATGGATATAGAGCGGCCCCACGAAACTGTATTTGCCACTGTGTGCATACAGTATTTACGAATGCACACTATTCACAAACGGGTGAGAATTGAAGGGAAGAGCAAATGCCCGATTGCCGTGCATTGAGTTCTCACAAAGTACTACAACACATAAATACTGACATTTTGCTGGCTTGCTGGTTTGCTGCAAAGCTAACAAGCACTTGTACCGAGTTCACGTCTTATGGCTTGTTCACTAATCTTTACTAGGATTACGAAGAATTGAATTGAGGAAGAGTTAGAACGAAGTGGAGTCGAAATTAAATTTTTGTTGAAGTTGTTTACTAAACTGTCTGAATTCAAAGTAAGAATGATGCAGAATGCATATAAATTATTTATTAATTCACTTGAATTGGAACTAAAATTAGGTAGACTACTGAAGTTCCCTTTTACTATATAAATTGTTGAGGAACTAAAAGTTTATTAAATCTAGTGCCTAAACTTGACAAAATGTGGTGCATTGGTCATTCCATCTAAGTTTCATCAAACTTTCCGTTAGTTTAATTTTTAGTTGTGACAGGAATACAAGTGTACATCATGTGTTTTAATAGGAATGGTGGAAAATTTAATTTTGTAAGTTATTAACTTTTTAGTACACATATCTCACTATTTGTTTGATGAGAAGTGGTGTACTATGTGTACGGATCACATTGAAAAATCTCTCCGA